GCATATGCCGAACTAGGATTAGGAGAAATTATGCTCGCGCTGGAGCAACAGAAGCAGACTTAGGAATCAGAGCTATGAAACTATTGAGGCAGATGATGGGAAAAGAGCTTAGAGTGAAACGGATACGATGGGAGAGCCGAGTAAAATCGGTAAAGCACTGAAATAAGAAATGGATCTTGGAGGGCACGAGGGAGATTCGGATGAAAGTTGATTGAAGTAGTTCACGGTAAAGCAGCCAATTAAACTAAGCAATTCCGGCATGAAAGTGGAGGGGGGGAGGAAACCAGTGGGAGATATGATTACACCTCACTAAATGTCTTCAAATGGGAAAACATCTGTAACAGTTCGGGATAGACAAGATAGACGTTTTGATAGAGAGGGAGGGAGAAAGCCCGATGCTGGAAATTGTCTTTACCACTATGTTGGAGTGCCTTAATCGGGGTCGCCATGACGACAGAACCAAGTTGCGAAACGGAGGTCGGACAACTTTCATGCAACGAATAACTTTGGTGAGTTGTTTGGGTCGCATCTACATACATGCGCGAATCATTTATTCCAAAGCATTCGTGATTTTATAATACTGACCTTTGTTTTGTAACTATGGTCAGAAAAAAAGTGATGACTAAATCCTGGTTAACGAAACGTCTAAAAATAGCAAACTTGAACTTATTATAACTGTCCCCCTGGCTAATTGAAAGGAAGCAAGTATTTAATTTTACTTGATGTAAAGTAAGTAAGACTATCAGCAAATCTTTTTTTTATGCATAACTAAGAAGAATTTGATTGTATACGGGTCTCTCGTAAAAAGTTATTTGTGAATAAATTTCTTGAACAATTTTCCTTTTATGGTACAGCAATGGCTTCCTCATCTTCTCCTAATGGTCCATGGTTTACATCACCCAGTAGTGTTCAAAAAGTCTCTCTTCGGCCTCAATCTGCCCCTCTCAGCGGAACTCATTCTGACAGGGAATCATCTCCGTCAATGGTTGCTGTACCACTTCCGCATGTGCGCTTGCCTCCTCCTCTTTACACATCTTGTCGACGTCTGCCCGCTAGCGACTCAATCCTCTCCTCTGGCAACTCATCTCCGGCCAGGCTGGTTACCGTAACGGGTGGTGGAGAATGCGAAGTTCGAGCAGGAAAAAGGCCAGTTGCTATGACAACATCCACTCAGCGATTTGAGGATATGCAGCCACAGAAACGGCAAGCTCAGAGGGCTGGCCCCAGTATACATTCATCCACTCTACTTAAAAC